AGAAAGGGAGAAAGAGAGAGAAGCAGAGCGAAGAAGAGAAGAGGACGCAAAGCAACGATGATTGCACGGAGGATGCGTTCGCGACGGAAGTACGAGGCACACTAAGGGCGTGGGCAAGCGGAGCAAGGCCGGTGTGGAGTTCCGAGGGGAGGACCACATTGATTTTGATTTTCGAAGCGCGCGCATGAGTCTTCGTGTTCAGCCCATTCATACGTATGGGACATTGGTCCTTACCTACTAGATACTATTCTCTGGATCGCACACGATGCTGCATCCCAAATTTTTCTCTTCCATTCCGAACGCATTCTTCTTTCTCGTCGAATTACAGTTATGTAATGACAGCAGCGGTCAACATCCACCAATCGTCGCCGTTACGCGCAATGTTTATCTCGCTTCGTTTACATGCTGCATTTATTCATTAATGAATGTTCTTTTTCATCGTGCCTACGTTTTGTATTCATTTTATTTTTACTATTACTCTCATCGTATTATATTTCTATCTTTCAACCTACGCAACCGTTACTTCGTTCTGTTCTGTGTTATATAACTCTGTAAGGATGGAGAGGATCACAATTCATGCCTCTAGCGTTATTATTGCAATAACATTGAACTGTACGTAACAAAACGTTCGTAATGTGAGGTCAACACGATTCTTTACTATTTCACGTGTAAAACAAGTAACTGCACCAATGAATATCCATCGCTCTTTTTAATTATGTGACAATATCTTTTCATTAAAAATACTTTCCAACCTTTTATTCGATAAAAATAATATAGGATATTGGAAAATCATTATGAGCATAAATGAAACGGTATGGATCCTCGATTTTCATGAAAATGAATATTGTTTTTGACGAGAAATGGACGAAAATTATACTACGTACACACATGTATAGAATCTGTAGATCAATCTATTTGAATATGTATGTGAGTCCGAGACACGAACCTTTTTTTTATTACAGATATTTGGAATTTAACAACTAGTTCATTATTGTTTATCCTTAAAGTAATGTATGCCTACTATCGTAATTACACGAATTATTAAAATTACATGATTTGCTCACATTTTAGAAGGTAAAGGAATGTCGCGCGTTATTATTGAAACAGATGACCCGTCTCCCAATTAATTGTTTTTATCGTACAATACTTATAATTGTATCTATGCATCATAAATCTCCATTACCAGATTTTCATTCTATAGAAATGTTATGAAAGTTAAATAGGGAAGAAGATTTGAATAATTATAATTCAGTCATTTTAACTACCGTGATAATTCTACTATTAATAGCTTAATGAAAAATAAAAAATAATTCATAATAATAACACCTTGTTTTCATAAAAGTGAATAAAAATCGAAGGTCGAAAATTTTAATGGATTCTGTTTTATAAACAAAATATGTAATAAAAATATGTAATAAAATGACTCAAGTTTCATATGACGTTGATACATGGTGTACTATTGGTGGAAGTTGTTAGATATTGTTCGCAAGCGGTTTCTCTAATTCTAGTACTAATTGCTCTGTAGCTATCATTTTCTTGTCTTTCTGCGTACTGTTTTAAGTTTTAAACAAGACATTCTAATCTTTGTTCATTCTTTTTCTTTCAATAAACATCTTTTTTAACGTAAAACTTGAGTACGGTTAAATAAAACTCCTGTAATTTTACTATAAGCTGTAAATCATAAAAAATGTTATTCCTAGTTTATAGTTTTTCCCCATATTTTAAAACTTAATTGCCATCAAAAACTTGTAGAAACTAGTTATTCCATGTTGGGAAGTAATTTGAACTGCTAAAAGAAGAAACTTTTCGTTTCAGATGAGAAATAACGATCAAAAGTTACTATTTAAAATTATGACGGATTCCATAATTTTATTAACTCGTTGTGCAATCCAGAATAGTACTATTCGATGATACAACTTGTTACTACATAACATTCAATGTATCTACAATTTAAACAATGGAAATAACGTTAACTATATTAAATTCCTAGAGTATTAATAATTTGCACAGTAAAGAAGTGTACAATATAATTCTTAGGTAAGAATTAAAAAGAATAAACTGAAAATAATTCAATTTCTATAAATGGTGCACCATTTGGGGTTCAGAAGTACGAACTTTTTGTTAGTTGCGAAGAACATTGACAACGTTTTTTATTTCATTGATTAGCAAATTTTGATACATCACAGACAATAACTTGCTGGAGATGATATTAACTCTTAACACAAAAGTATACTACTCTCTTGAGAAAAGGGGAGGGAATATTAAATAGAGTCATTTTAAACATTTCGAAGAAAAATATTTTCTTGGACAAAAAATGTTCTACTTAACAAACATTATGAGACAAGTCAAAATGACTCATTTTAGGATTTTTATTTTACAAGTATTGAAGTTATGAAAATGTTTTTGAAAGAGTTTATAAATAAATTTATATATAAATAAATTCATGTACTTGTATAATCACTTTGATTGTTCGGTACTTCTAGTGTGAACCCTTTCCGGTCGGAGCATTCCAAAAGTGGTGTATCCGATTAGTCGTAGCGCTCAGTCGGTAATAAATTAACATATTTATGGTTTATATTTGTTTATTTATACGTACGAGCTAAATGTTTGAGTCGACCGATACCCGGCTGTCGTCCTCAACATTGTGCCTTGACGCGTCATACTCGGACTTCGATCGGAAGGGTTACAATATCCATTTTCAAGCGTTCGTTTCAATTGAAATTTTTATTAAATTTTTTATTTCCTTTATTTTACAGATTGATAGAAATTTCAGTAGATATGAATATTAGAAAAGTGATTTTCTGCCAAAATGGAACTAAACTCTTTGACTCCGATCACTTCACGCCGCCTAAAGTTCTATACTAGACGGATATGATTAGGCGCGCCTCATTGCACAACTAGTTGTGAAACACAAGGGAACGACTTCAATTATCCACCTCCCAAAACAGTGAATGAAGATGCTTGAAAAGGATATGAACAGTTAAAGTACCTATAAGTGACTTGCTTTCAAAATGTTATATAAATGTAAAATAAGGTAGTTATATATAGTGTCTGTTATCATTGGAGGCCTTGGGTTTGATTTTCGATCATTCGAAATATATTTTTTGTTTCATACTTTTACTGTCGAGTGATAATTTTAAATTTAAGTCTTATAGAGACAGCAGACCTACAAAAAAAGTCAACCATCGCGAATATTTAACACCTTAAGCGCCATGCCAGTCACTGATGACCGACACTTCTGAATTGTTTGAAAACTATTACAATATGCAAGATGACTGACGTTGAATAAAAATGTTTAATAACGTAAGTAAGGATTGTAATGTCAAAGCATTAATGAATTTTCCTACTTATCTTTACTCCAGAAGAATAAGTGTTACGTAAGACGCTCAAGATTTTAATGGCACTTAACGTGTTAATATGTAAATATTGAAATATCGCATTGTCTTTGTGTACATTTTATGTCATCTAAAAATGCAGCTTGGTATATATTATAAAACAGCGTTTTTTAATCTTTTGTTCATCACGGATCGTTTCGCGTAATGTTCCCCGTCGCGGAACCGCAAGATTTAAGGGAATATTTTTATTTGGAATTTTTAAATAATCGATTATTTTCTTGCATCTTTTTAAAACGTATATCTTTAAAAATGTCTATGTTAAAGAATATGTGAGATTTTTCTTCCTCACTTATTAACACTCACTGTATCTTTGTTCATGAAATTTCCTTTTATGTCCCTCTTTAGGTCACTGTATGACCCTGGAATTGCTAATTAATTGAAAATATTCGATACATATATAATCTATTATATATATGTGTGGATCGGGAATAATATACGGGAATATAGAAATATTTAATAAATAACTACATCTATTAATAGTAAAACAAGTAATGTTTAAATATAATCAACTAGATAATAGCGACACACGACTAAACCAACACACAACTTACTAGGATGAATGCCAACGCACCACTCTCTCTAGACACAGACTCCCTCTCGGAGATTCGCATTCAAAAATCATTCTCTCCCCTACAATCATTCTTCTCACTCGCACTCCTCACAAACTCTCAAACACACTCCTCCAAAGCCGAACTGGAAACCTTGGCTCTGCGACGTTGTGCAGAACACTTTCCCTCGACCGTTAGGCTTTCCTTTTTTATTGCCCTTCGCTCACACTTATATTCAATACTATATTCAACTACTACACTATATTTAATACACTTACCACTACACATAGTTTCTCAGCCTGTAAAACTATTTGACCAGTATGTAAATGACACAAAAACTTTAAATGTGATTTTCTCGAAACCGCGTTTTCTGACAATGGTTCACATGATATCTCAAGATCCAGTTACCCGATTGAATTAAAATTTGAACAGATTCTTTAACAGACTTATACTTTTAATATGCTAAAAGCAAGCTTCTTACTAAAAACAAGAAAAAGAAGCCTAGAAAATCGCAACTTGAACTTTAAACAACTGCCATTTTGTTAAACAATGCGATATTTTAATCCCTTTGGTAGTGGCTGTAACCACATTCATACAGAATACAATCATACACCGTCTTTTTGTTTTCATTCACTACAACGGCCGAAATCATCTTAACCATTAAAACATTATCTTTGAAAATAATTTTCTTTAACCACATTCATAAACTTTTTTATATTTTGACTTAAAAAATAGGTGAAATTGCCGATGTACTCGGACCTTACCGATCTTGAAGCTTCTTAAATATGTTATTAGGAGCATGATTTTGAACAACTTTTTCCTTTATATGTTGCTTACGGAAGGCTTTAGTTTCCGAGATAAGCGCTAAAACCCTTTGCTACTACACATTGTCACCGGCTATTGTTCCGTAATTAAATATGAAAATGAAACAATCTATATAAACTTCAATATACTTTATTTGTGTATAATGAATTGAAATGAAACTTTGGACATATCTTTTATGTAACTTTTAATATTTTGCTTTTGCAATAATCTATATTGTCCTGTGGTTAAAAAATTGAAGTGGCTAATGCAAACACGAGTTAAATAGTGACCAGTCAACAATGTGTTAAAAATTATTTAACCTAATTTAAATGGTAACATAATGGGCATTGAGCTTTAACACTTTGACCGCCACGAGATATTTAAGGGTTTTGTGTAATATCGCTTATTCTTTTATAACAAAAGCAAATAGTGTTAGAATTAGTTATTAACGGTTTAGTATCATAGTTCTTAGGGTGCACTATTATTTAACTAAATAACTACTTATGCTACTAAATATTCTGATTCGACATCATTTTTTTTCTTCTTGCAATTATTTTCAAGCAATTTGGAGACTCCGATCATCGGTGACCACCGTAGCGGTCAACGTATTAATCACTTACGTATTCTAATGGCTTGCGGAGAGAGCACAGAGCTCCAGAGAGGACTTTGCGACCCCCCCGGTGGACCACAGGTACTAAACCATTGTTATATAATATTCCTTATATAGATGTCAAGTTGAAAGCACACATAATTCAGCATTCTTGAATACATGAATGCTTGCAATTTGTGTTATATAAATAGGTACGTGTCACCTAAGGCAATCCAATCTTTTATAAATATCATCATCTGTAAAGTTGCAAAAAGGTCGTTAAATTTTGAAAATCGTGTTACTTCGATCTGTGTATTGAAATACATATGTATACATGGCAAAGTTAGGAAATTGATATTGAAGGTGGATATTTCATTTACCCTGTAAAGTAATTAATTTTTAGTAGTAGTAGTAATATTTTCCTATGTTTCCCATAGTCCTAAATTTTTAATTTCTAAAAAGCTCAATTGAATAAAAGGATTAAAATGTCCTTAAACAAAATTAAATAAACGTTTAACCAGGTGCAAACATTTGAAAAAAAGAAACTGACAAATTGAATTGAAACTGGGATTATTCCATTCCATTAATTTTAGTTTTATTGAATTTTTCTTACGCGGTATTTAATTTGAAAACAAAATGTTGCGCATTCGTATTGTGTGTTTAATATTAATACACTTAGATCACACATTTTATTTAGTTTCACGTACCTTTTTTTTAACATTTTGCTTGCTATTGCGCGGTTTTAATACGTTTTATTTAACACTGAATGTATCTTTATATTTTTAATTAGTTTTGGTATTCGTATTTTGTCTTATTTTAACACAAGTTTTGTACTCTTCATCAAATCTGTTTGCACATAGTATACTTTGTTAAAATAATTTCTTTTTCGTGTTTTTTTTATTTTGCACGGTCTTTTTCGTAAAGCTTCTTTGTGTTAGACAGCCTTTTTTGGCGTTTTTTTTGCAGTACGTATCAACGCGTAGAAGACCGAGGTATACTTCAAAATGAGTAACAATTAGGAATATTTCTCGTAGCATTGCAGTTATCTGTTTAATAGCGACTATCTTATAGTTTTGTTGTAGCTACTAACAGGACTGACTAACGCGTGAGACTTCTTCAATATGTTCGTCGTCAACATTTGTTTCTGCAGTAGTCTTCATAGTTATATTTTATAAAATGCAGCATATCATCTTCACGAAACAGATTAGAGATAAACATCTTGTCAACTTTGTAGATGCTAATACATCATACGTTACAGTCTTAACCCTTTTAGTACCCATGAGTAGAATACCTAACCAATTTGACGAATTTGCTAAGGTTTGGGAAGAAGCTCATAAAAAACAAAATAAGAATGATATTTACAGAATTTAAAAAGCAGCATATTACGAAATAAACGGAGGATAAATTAATGCCAATTGTATTTAAATATTTGTTCAAAATCATACGAATAACATAAATATAAAGCATTATGCCTCAAAACAGGTGATTCGTGTAGCTAGTATAACGTTACTGAAATAAAATTTTAATATTATCATAAACATTTATATCTAGTTATCTGGCTATTGAAAATGTGTAATATTTACTTATTATTACTCACACAAATCATTTATTTAGCATTGATGTTTGCAAATGCATACATCGTGTAATCCTCTATTGCACAGATTACAAATTGTTGCGAACGACGATAAATCGTCGTCGGCACTTTCCGCAAGTGTTGCGAACGACGATAAATCGTCCTTCGCCACTAAAAGGGTTAAATAAAGTCACACGTAAAAGTAATTAAGTTTTCTTTATCCAAAATACAAAGTGTTGGTCGTCACAAATATACTTGACTCTAGTAGCAAACATGTTTATACCATCGATATATTTACATTTTAAATTGATACTTGTATCCATCCATCTATAGTAAAGTATCGCAGGACGGCGCAGGAACAAAAGGGATCTTTTGCTGTGTGCTTTGTTTACTCTTGCTGTCAGGCGATCGGATTAATATGTGTAACCGTTTCTACAAATACATAGCAGGCTAGAATCGAAGAAGCGTATAAGAATGGATGTGCCCCGTTCCACTCTTGTATGATAAACCCGCATTCCTTCCAAATGCTTTATTTTCGTCAATACATCATACACACGTATGTATATGACCACGCGATAGAACGTTTGAACACTTCCTTCAGTAGAGACATTTTGTTCAAAATATCTTGCGAAATAATCAGTTTTTGATCATGCTACCCCAATACTTTTCTACGTAGAATGAAGAGAGGATTCAATGCATATAAAGAAAGAGATTGATCCTACTTTTAAGAAATAGTATAACTACAGAATGCATATGCGCTATTGCAAGCATTAAAAATCTATGTCTGTGAGTATATGCAGGATCTTGAACCATTCATTGTTCTCTTGTAACAATTTTTTTGTAACTTTAACTAGAAAAAGGATATGGCTCATTACATTTTAAAAACAATTTACAGAACGACTTGACAGGTACTACAATGCGCTGTAACGATAAGCAAGTCATGGCTGGAACAAAAA